ATAAATAAATAAATAAATAAATAAATAAATAAATAAATAAATAAATAAATAACAGTTTCATTACTACAAGTAATCCGTTCAGAAAGGAAAACCTCCCAAGCTGCAAGAGAAGTCGTCAACCGAGGAGCCAATGAACGTTTGATCACGTGATATGAACTGCGCTACATCCTACCCAAATACGAAATAATCATACTGCTGGCCGGTCGCCGACTATTCCGAACGGCATGGTCCTCAAATACTAAGGGACGAGATGGCTCAGTGGTTAGAGCGCGAATTTACAAACGGGAAGGTCTGTGATTCGAACCCAACTTCTGCCCCTCAAATTCCCCTGTCTAGGATTCGGCAACATGGTAGTATCCCTCCCCTCGTGCTTCTTCCTGGTGGCATGCAGTTGGGCCAACGAAAGTGGGCTACGCCTGAACAATTATTTAAAAAAACACTAATCGGGAGGTCCGTTGTTGAAATATTTTGGAAAATGCGCGCTGCTGATGAGTCTAAACAATGCTGAAACAGTTATAGATTATCTTTAAGCCTGTCAGTATAGAATGAGTTCACTTGCAAAATGAAATCTGTGAAAATTCAGCTTACTTAGTTTTGAATTCAAGACTTCACTTTCAAACAACAGTGTACTCTGTGAACAACTGCTGTCACCCAAACATCTCAGTACTCGACAAACTGCCCCTCTAGCCATGAACATAACCCGGCACGTAAGCTGCCCCATCTAAAAGTGAGCTTCATTAAGACACTAAAGTGTAGTGGTGGGACCGTGCGGCCAAGACGGAGACGATTTCAGCTGCTCGTAACTCAAGAAACTTATATGGACTCAATAGGACAACCAAAATAAGATGATCAAACATCAGCCAAGCAGTCGATGAAGCGGTGCACTCGTAACCAACCCACTTAGGAGCACTGGGTGTTGGTTTCATCAGTAGTTCAACAGGCCCAAAGTGTCACCAGCCATATCCAAACCAAACACATATGAACGCTGGACCATCAGTCACAATCCAACAACAGTGATCGAAGTTTGTGGAAAAATGTCAACCTTGAACAACACAAAGCACTAGGCTCGGATGAACATATTCCATCTCTATTTAGGATAATAGACAACACTTGTGAATCAACTCCCTGCCTTGGTGGGATATTTGGACCGCTGGGGAAAATATTAGTTGAATGGGGAACCGCCACTATTGACCCTGTGTCCATAAAGACCAATGCATCATTTGCGATGGATCACGTATCACCAGCCTCACCAACCAAGGTTCTAACAATTTTGACACCTGTTATGGTTTACCCACTAAGCCGATTGAGCGAACAGATAATCCTTGAAGTCAGGGCCTCAACCAAAGCTGCACCGATCAACAATATATTTTACGACAATTGCTGGAACTGCATCATACACACTAAAGAAGGACCTCTTCTGGTCTTCCTTGGCGTCAAAAGTGCTTTTGACCCCGTAAGCGGCGCTTTGTGGAACCGTCTCATGGAGAACTGAGTTCCGTTAAAACATAGTTAAATTCCGAAAGCACATATGTCGTCAACTTCGAGTGTACAAAAAACTACCATCCAGTTTTGCCATTTTAAGTGGAATCCATTTAATTCTATTATAGACGATGTCATCAAGGCATGAGCGTAATGCACTAGTCATGAGGCTGCTGAAAATTCTTAGACGGTCCACGACTGGTTTCTTGGGGCTCACCAGATAAGCGTAATCCCTGAGGTTCCGTCAATCCTATGTTCTACTTGGACCCAAATTGCACGAACTTAGCGAAGTACACTCATTTGGATGCCAATTCGGTTTCGACGGGAGACTTACCTGGAACCTAGATCAATCTTCCCTTTATGATGTTCTTAAGTCCCCAGTGAAAACCGAATTGGTATGCCGATGGTTGTATGAAGCCAAAATGTTCAACACTTCTAAATATGGCGGCATTGAGCTACTATCAGTGAGATCTAATCGGGACCCACTATCCACAAACGGATAATATTGGTTTATGATTGTGATAATCGGGCACGAGATGCCACTGACAAGAGGACGATTTCCACTTGTCGTTTTGGATTGGACTCTTCACTATTTCTGGAACATCACCGTGTACTCCGACCAGGCACTTGTAATTTGCTGCCTTCGACTGCTCTCTCCAGGTCCATGCAGTATGCACACACCTCGTGTAGCCATTGAGAAGCTGGTGGACCCAAAATCGAACGAACCCGCTCCTCGAACGCCTGTCGATGTCGGGCATAAACGACCATTAGGAAAAGATATCCGAAGGGCTACACACAGCCGGAACTTCTGTTTGCGTTACAACCCAGGAAGCCTCAACCAAGCATTGGATCTCTGATAGGACCGTGGCTTTGCTGAAGGCCGGGCGACAGGTTCCTTCTGGCCGCAGCCACGGCTCCGACCGGGGCCTCATTCGACACCAGGTGAAACTGAATGTCCGTACAGACCGAGAAGCTTGGTGGACCCGAAAGGTCGATGAAGTGGATGATGCAAAAATACTGGGAATGTCCGCAATCTGTTCTATTTAATTGGCTGGATTGGTCCTTGGAAGCCTCTTGTCAGCGAAAATAACGCGGAGCAAAACGGCTCCCTGATACCCAGCAAAGAACGCTTGGACCACTCGGAACAGTAGTTTGAACAGCAATTCACTTGGCAACATGCTACCTTCAATCCGGACTGCTGGCCTTTAGCAGAAAGGTGGACAGTAAATATGGAGCCTCCTTCAACTCAAGAAGTGTTCGAGTCTCTAATCAAGTGACATCGTGCGCCTGGTCCTGACAACCTTCCAACTGCTCTGTTCAAGGATGGTGACAAGTTTCTCAGTCTTAACTCCTTGGGTCTACCTAGAAGAAATAGACCGTCCAGAAAACTGGTATGAATCCATAATAGCGCCCCTTTTCAAAAAGGTACCTGCAATGAATTTAGTGACTCCAGGGATGTTGATTTGGCTTCCGTTGTTAGAAGACTTCTGACGTCACTGATCTTTCGTTGTCCCACGGAAGCGCGCGAAACAGTAACTCGTAAGAATCAAGGGGGATTTCGACTGGATAGAGATCGCCTTGACAACATCTTCACACTCCGTCAGATGTCAGAACAAGGCCACATGCACAGACTATCCACAATCTTGGTATTCCGACTTCAAAAGTGGGTTCGATTCTGTCTACCAACCAGCGTTGTTTACTAGATTTGCTCAACAGAGTATACCCCAGAAGTTTATTAACATGATTCGATCCTTATATTAACAATTATCATCACTACCATCATCATCATTGTCAGTTGTAAGAACCGCGTACTTGTCGTGCAGAAGTTGTAGCTGTCACAGTTTCGTTCACCGATGATTTGGGGAGGTGTGGTAGGTAGCTGCGCATTGGAGGCGGGAGCGGATAAATTGGTGCGTTAATACAGCACTGTCAGTGGACTGTTAAGTGGGGGAATGGGGAAGAAAGCTATGCATTTAGAGCACGACAGGGCCATGTCTGACAACGTCTCTAACCATTGATGTGGCTGGTCTTGGTGTTCCACCCAGGAAGAAGGCAATGACCAGCGCAGCGGAGTTTGCTGGTAATGACTTTTGTACTTCACTGCCTAGTCATTGTTTGACCGCCTCGGGCTCGTTTCCACTCTTCACGTGGTTGTGCGAAAAGAACCCTTAGGGGAAGTCAGACGACTGACATACGCAGCACGTGGCCAAGCCAGCGCAACCTATGCAGTGTGATCTATCGAGGGTGAGTCATTCCTCCCGAACACTACTCGACGTACGTCACGCCTACGCCACAGGCGAAGCAGGTTCACAAAAGCTGATTTGGCCTTCCCAATCCGGATGGGAATTTCATCTTTCGCCGGACCACCGAGACTGATGCAGCCTCCCAGATAAACAAATTTGTCTACTACCTTAATCGGTTCATCCGCAAGCATGAGGCTAGGTTCGAGCCCAACCAGTCTTGCAGTAGCACGATGCACTTTGCAGGTGTGAAGTGCATGCCAGATCGTGAGGCAGAATTAATTAGATTATTTGATATTGTTTGAATTGCCAGTGTCAGATCCCAGAAGAGTTATGTCGTCTGCGTACCCGACATCTGTGAGCGGACGTCCCGGGAGAATTTCGACCCCACAGGCATTAAAGACTGGTAGTGAGTCTTCCAGGATCGCATCAATGACGAAGCTGAAGAGGAAAAGTGAAAAAGGGCAGCCATGTCGGACATCATTTGATGTGGTGAACTCAGGCGAGAGCTTCCCGTAGACCTTTACACGGCCGCGGGAGTTGGCTTACAGAGCCCTAAGGAGGGTCAAGAATTTATGAGGGGCACCTTTGTTCCACAGACATTGCCATAGTGCCTGATGGCCTACAAAGACAGCTTTCAGATCGGCAAACACAGCCACTGTTGGCTGCTGGGAGCAGTATCGCTGTTCCAGGTGAAGGTATGATCGATGCGTCATCTTGGAGGTCGGAACCCAGCTTGGTTTGCTTGTCTCTCCCTCCTCCATCTCCCAGCTTTCGATTTCCACCAGAGCTCTCGGTTGAGAAAAAGCTGATTTTTGCTTTGCTTTTGTCAGTCAGCGTTGAGCAGACAGCATCAGTCACTAGACAAAGTTGGTAGAGTAATCCGGGATACGGATTTGACTGGAACGATGCATAGATTGGTTATGGAAAAAAAGAGGGCTGGATACAGATCGTCCGGTCCTGGTGCCATCTCACGTTTCAGTACGGCATTTTCGCACCTTATTACTTCTACGAAAGGGCGATCAAGGTTTACATTCCATCCACTCGTATGCATTATATCTACCGGCTGTATTGCAGGAGGCCAGCTGAACTGCACTTCGAAGTGTTCGGCCCATCTCCCTAGTCGACGTGTTTGCGCGTGAATTAGTGAAACATCTTCCAATTATCGCTTTGCTGACCTTTGATTCTTCAGGGCGAGTGGATCGAGTCAGTTGACATAGGGAATGGATAATAGCAAAAGCACCCTAAATCCCTCCCGATTTCGATGTTCACCAGAGCAATCGGACATTCCCCAAACTCCCCATTATTTGGCGTTCGAGAGATTTGCGTGCGCCATCATACTCGTTGCCTGCTGGAATGGCTTTCCTGGCATCAATCATGAATTTCGACCTCGACGGCATCCAGTGGACTTGTTACCGAATTGGAAAAGTCGGCCAGACAGCACTTAACGTCGCTAGCATAACTCCTTTCACATGTTGCCACGCTTCATTCACATGCTCACAGTCACCACGGTATTGCTCCACTTTGAAGAGTTGTTGGGCTAACTCAGATCGATACTATTGAGCTATGACAGTTCTTCAAAGACAGTGGGTTGGCACGCTTCTTGCTGACTTGTCTGAGCCTGAAGGGAGGCGAAATGATAGGCGTGCATGCGCCATGACGTGATTACATTCGAGTGTTTTGTCCCAGATGGAACGGCAGTTTTGAATTGTGGCCCTCCACCGCTGGCTGATGGCCACGTGGTCCAACTGGACCCACGGTTGATTTGCGTTTTCGTGGCCGCCATGTTACGCGGTGTGAACGTTTATGTTGGAAGTTCGTACTTGCCGGAAACAGTTCATGATCAACACACAACTGAAGCAGTCTATCTCCGTTATCTGTAGGACAAGCATCGACTCCAAATTGACCGCTCAAATGTGATTCCGAAGAGCTCAGACGACCAACTTGCGTACTCATATGGCCTGCAAGGATCACAACGCGCATCTTGCCTGACGAATGAGCTCGGATAGCTCTCATGCTTTAGAACTTGCATTCTCTGAACAAGTCCTTAGGAATTCAAACAGAAGCACTGGAGGTTGCGCAGAATTTCACATACCTTGGTAGTTGTATTGGCTCTGACGGAAGTGTCTGACGAAGTCAGTTCAAGAATCTCATAGGTCAGGAGGCCTGTTAATTTGCGTCAATTGTGCCATCAAATAGGTATATCAATGTGTCATAAGGATCGCACGTTAAAGGCTACAGTCAGTAATGTATCCTTGTATGGTGGAGAGACGACCTATGAGGGTAGATGGTGCGAAGCGTCTTCGGGTTTTTGACCGCCAATGTCTCACGAGTGTTGCTAGTGTCAGCAGGTTCCTAACGAGGTAACCAGAAAACGGACATTTGGTTGCGCAACACGTACTCCACTCGCGGATGATATCCAGCACCATCAGCTGCGGTGGTTCTGGTATGTGCTGCGCATACCGCAACGTGGACTACCGAGGACAGCATTGTTATCGGTGTCGTCTGTAGAATGAAGCAAACTGCAAGGTGGACAGCGCGTGATTCGGCAGAAGAGCGTGAAAGAGATTACGCAAAGTTTCGGTGTCGCTGGTATGGTCCACATTCCAGGATAGGTTACCCGTGACCTCCTCCAACGCTACCGATATGCTAGCATCAGGTCGCTCAGTCACTCACTCTTTTCACTTTAATGCCATAAATATGACAAAATAAAAATTGTGGTTGCATGGAAGTGAAACACTTGTCAACACCTATTGCTGCTGTCACACACACACACACGCACTATATATATATATATATATATATGGCGTTTAGCTTTAGCATCCCTTCGGTGCCTAGCTGCCATGCCATCCGAAGGAAGCACGAGGGCTGGGATACTGACAGGTTGCCCAAGCCTAGACAGGGGAAGTCGAGTGCCAAATGTCGGGTTCGAACCATGGACCTTCCGGTCGGTAAATTCGCGCTCTAACCACTTGGGCTATCTCGCCCAAGTTTTGTAGTTTTTCTACAGACGAAATGGGAAGATGAAGGACACTGTTATCAGCTTAAGTTCTCCTAGTTAAACATGTATTCCGCAACTTCCCGTCATTAACGTGCTTTTCCTTTCTAATGCGTGGGTGTTGCCGGCCGTCAGAAGCCTTCCGGATTAATCACTGATCTGGATGGAGTCACCGAGGTCATATTTTCCACTTTGCTTACTTTATGCCGTTTGTTTTGGGTGGAAAACGGATAAGCTGTCACCGCTTGCAAAGCCCAGAAAACCCTGCAAAAATATCCATTGAGAAGAGTCACAGAAGCTGCACTTGCTTAGCATGATCCCCGGAGCAAAAACTGATTAGTCGTCACTCGCAAGATGGTTGCCTCAGAAATTATCACGGTCACGTAAAACAACTCGGCTTTGCGGTGACAATGCAACCTGTCATCAAAACCAAACAGCTTTGTCGGCTTTTTATCCGCACGGTCACAAGTAAACAAGGCGCGTTCGAGAAATGTTCAGTTGTCACTTGGACTTTGCGTTGAGCTCAGATGGTCAGCTAGACATTGGCTGGAGATTTGACAACCAATTTATGAGCATAAAATGTGTCCAACAAATAGGTTGAGCTCAGATGGTCAGCTAGACATTGGGTGGAGAGTTGACAACCTCCAATTTATGAGCATGAAATGCGTCCAACAAATAACTGTTGCGACGATCCTGTACAGGTTAAAGGTAGGTCGAAATTCGGTTTGGGTTGACGGGTTCAGTGGAGTGATCTTCCAACCGCCAGCGTCTGAATGTTCCTATTCAATTCAAGGCGAATGAAACCCTTCGAAATGAAAAATCTACGGACCAAATCTACCCATGCCATTCTTGTCTAGGCCCGGGCATCGCAATGGTTCAATCTTCGTGCTTCTTTTTAGAAAAACGTCGCTCATTAATACCCTTATCGAGTCTCCTCCTCACTGAAATAACCGACACCGAATGTGGGATACAGAAACAGCATAGCCTAGAAAAGAGTTATTCAAAATTTCCCATCAGGAATTTATGCCGCCAGATAAAGTTGGGTAGACATACTTGGGCGGATATCTGGAGCACTTAGAATGTGTCTGGCAGCAATAAAAAATTCTTTGCGCATGTTCGTCACCGACGGCGGGCAGTTGTACAACAAATTCATTATTCCCATTACTAGATTCGCAGAATGACGTTCAACAAGATCCTGTAAAAGAAAACGATGGAAGGGAGAGACTACTGAACAAAGAATCGCTTGTTTGGTCATCGATTGAACTAAAAAAACAGGGTGTAATCAAACGATTACTCATGAAATGAAACCAAACTACGGAAACTGTCCGCTTTTTGTGTCAAATCGGCTTTAAACGAAAAGCGACATTTTCCAAGTAAACTTGTGGCGCACTGTGGATACCAATTAACGAATTTCGGCGCATTCTCATAAGACCACAATGAATGACTTGCGGCTGAACATCATTACCCTGCTTTCAAAAGCATACAATGCAACCATGCATAAGAACTACATACCTCCTGTCCATTGCTATGAGGAAATTTCTCAAGTTTTCGACACCAATGACCGGAAGTTCCGTGGTCCGAACCTGACCTCTGCCTCTCGAACTCCCCTGTCTAGGCTTAGACAACCTGGCAGCATCCTAGCACTCGTGCTTCCTTCGGATGTCATGGCAGTTAGGTACCGAAAGGGTGCTACAGCTAAGTGATTTCTTATCCGAGCCATTTTCCCGGAAAAGAACGCCTTGCAGTTGGAATAATGAGTTCAGAAGATAAAACTTAATACTGATAATAACATAATAATAATATAATGTCCTCCATGCAACAACTAGAACATATCTTACGTACGTCCTATTGTACATTGACAGTGGTGTCGCACCTTTCCGTACACAATAATGTGCATCTGCAATGCATATTCACCTAGCCTGGTTTTACTGAGCGTCCAACTTCAGGGGAGAGAAGCGCTATGATATGTCGCCAACTGTTGTGCCATGGAATATATATAGCAACTTAATGTCCGATCCACCACTATTCTATAGGTTTCAGGTCTGCTAGCATTACTTACCAAACGTTCTCATACATCTCATACTTTATTTCATACCGAAGTCTGTGGCTGTGAATAGTGATGACCACGTAGTGGGATTAGCTTAGGCTTCAACACTATGAAGGCATTCTAAAAACACACTTCACTTAACAGTTCAAGTGGCCCAAAACAGCCGATCTTTCGTAAACACAGACGCAAGAAAACTAGCACTTGCTGGAAGTGTTGAAGGTTAGTTAAAAGTAGACTTTTTTTTACACAGATTTCCTGTTGACTATAGTCTAAGGTTGTCTAGATACATTTCTTAAAAAACGTGCTACAGATCGTATTGTACCACATACCTGGTAGATTTTGATTACATAGGCCAGGAATGATAAAGTTTTCACCTGTGCGGCCATGAAGTCGACAAATATATCTTGATCGAAACGAGGATTTTTTCTGGAAGGAAAGGATATTTAACCAGTACACATATGAACGATAAACAAATGCGTGAGTCCACATCAAGGGCGAAGTAAAAGATGCCAGATTCATTCATCCTCAAATAAGATTCAGACATTCTCTTCTCAATAGGCTACAAAAGGGGACAGTTAAAAGTAGCGTCGTTTGTGGGATAGCCTATTTTAGGAGGGACTTTACCAGTAAAGTCTGAGAGGACTTTAGAGGACTTGCGTCTACTTGCATTCTTTGTGTACTTACTGAGATAAAACTCAAAGTTCAAGACCTGTGCGAGGACAGAACTACACCGATACCTAAACATGATAGGCGAGTAATGATATTCTAGCCAATGAGCTCCTACTCTTCCGCGGCACCAGGATGTAGCCTTCATTCTTTACTCTATCGCCACTTTCACGCAGTGCTCTCTTGAACCCACAAATTCTGATCCACTTCTCTAATCATTCGGTCGTGCAACTCGCCTCTATTTTACAATTCACATCCAGTTAAGATCCCCAGTTGCCGAATGGAAACCTCCCGTCATTCAGTAAGACCCCATTAATCTCAAACACTTCGAACTTCTTAAAGGCTTCAGTTATTTGAGTCTCAAATAGATGAGCACTTGTTCAGTCCTCATTGTTATGCATGTGATTACTGTTCGGGTACCCAAACCGGAAAATTCAGAATCAGCAAACACTCACCTCTGTACATCAGTCGGTTTTAAGTTAATGAAATCCATTATAAGCGGGATGAATTCCGAAACATCTTGGTGTATATGCTGCTTGAAAAGCTGGTACATGAGGACAACCAGGATCGGAATCTCTTGCATCACTTTCAATGAGAAGCACGATTTGGGCAGGATGTGATACTGCGGACATATAAAAGTGTGGATAAAAATACCGTTTTGAAGGTTCCATCTTCCTTAGGTTCTTGCGTATGGATCGTCGTAATAGTGAAAGTTTTAGAGATCACATCGCCGACTTCTAGCTCATCAAAAGATTGTACTTCTATAGGTGAACGAGGATCGAATATGTTGCTCGCTTCATTTTGTAGTCCCCGATAAACTCGGCGGACAAAGGAAAGAAAAGATGTGACCTGAGATTTAGGGTGGGGGAAGAATGACATACATCTAGAGAGAAAGATGGACGATAGTATTTGTGAAGATCAATAATCAGCTTCACACACAGTAGCACATTCTCCTCGTTTTCGACCTATTGCGTAAGACGTTAAAAAGCTTTTGTACCTCAACTAATTTGAACAAAAGGCTTAAAATGGATCGTGCATACGGCCGCACGTGGTCCCCATTCGGTACTTTTTGCAAGATCTCTAAGCATATACGCCGTAGTTGTTGAATAGGAGATTCCTGGAGAATCTGTGGCTCAGTAGAACTGAGAAATTTCTGAATTCGCTCACAGACGCTGTGGATGAGGTCGGGAAACTCTTTGTCAGTTGACGAGCTCTGAAAGTACATAGAGAAAATAAGGATCAATACCTCTAGTCCATCACAGAGTTGGTGCCCACTTTGGATACGGTCCTCGAAAGCTGAAAAATGATAGAGTTATATCAACACTCACCGAGCGTTTCATTGAAGAAATCGCAAGCCTTGAGTTGAAGAAAGCTGCAAGCACCGTACGTCGAGGTCATTTTTGGTACCAGATCGAAACATAACAGTGTGCGTGACCTTGGCCCGCAGTTCAAGTTTTCTACCCTTGCTAGAATCGCGTAGCTATCCAGCCACTGGTGCGACTTAGCGAGTTGTTCCCAGCTGGCTCATAATATTTTGGTCTCGTGAAATATTTTCACTCCCGACGCCAACTTCATGTTCTATCGTGATCAAACGAAGTGCAGTGAGCGGAAATTCTACTCCACAGCGATGAGAGCGTAAGTAGCGATGCTACGAACTTTTGTCGTTTGGTTTGTGCAGACCAACTAGAGCCGCCGAACAACTTGAAAAAAACCGTAACTGGATATCTTTGTGATTGTCTGTATCCTGTGTGCCAAGCCCTGGGAACACGTCTCACCCGAAAATATTTTAACTAGAATTAATGTTATTTCCAGAGCACAAGAGGTGCATGCACAGTGAGTGAAGTCCAACTCACTTCCGGATTAATCGGAAGACAATTCTGCGCCAAGCTTTTGAAGGCATTCCGAAGGCGAGAGAATTCGAAGAATGCAATTCTGCGCCAAGCTTTTGAAGGCATTCCGAAGGCGAGAGAATGACCTCGAAGAATGGGTGCGAAATTACTTGTTGAGGTTGTGAAAGGACAAAATTTGTTCAATGTGGTCAATAAAATGTAGGAAGCCAGTTGCCCGTAGACGCTTCTCTGAGAAAGGAAGAAGGAACGCGGGCTTAACCTAACTGTGAGCCCTATCGGGTTTGGTGGTGCGTTGGTTTGTGCTATTAATCAGAAGCCGGAGTCGTTTGTTGTAGGAGGTGAGTGGTTGTGGACCGATTGGAGGGCTAAGGGACAAAGTTGAAGGGACGGCAATTATAGTCACAATTGAAGGCACCAGGGTGCAGCGCGCGACTCGGCCCATCTGGACGTTTTTCACAATAAGGAGTGGAAGGAGTTTCTTTTTGGCCAATCGTTGCAGTTCTGAAGATTTTGTTAAGCTACATTGGGATGTCAGGGCTGAAGGAAGGCCCAGTAATGGGTCGCCAATACAGGGCGTCCTGACTCCCGTGCTATTTCTGGTGGATAACCTTGTGCAATCTTTTGGGGACAAATTAGGGATGGTGTGAACAACCACGGCAATGAAGAAGGCTGGGGTAAGCTTGCATATCCAGGCAAGCTAAGAGCGCCGAACAGTATCCTCAGGTTGCAGCTTGTACTTCAGCAGTCGAAGGCATTATTTCCCTCTGCACACATACTGCGCCACTCCAAGATGCATGGCAACCAGGGCAAATCCAGGCCATCATGCTTAGTCGACGACACAGCAAACTTTTATGCATTTCCTGAGATAAGTGGCACTCTAGATATATTAGAGGTAGGTGGGAATTTCACGCTAACGGATGTGTGGCAAGTAGATGAGCACATCGTAGTGCAATGCAATAGGCTAACCTTTCCGACCACAAACTGGATTTTCTTCAAAGCATGTTACTAGATTTGCGAGATGGCAAGTATCCGATCGGCCATCAGCAGAAAGCTCCACCTGGCAGATGTTTTGTTCCGCAGAAGGTAGTCCAAGCTAATGACATAGCTCAACAAATTCAAAAGTACAAGCGAAATCAGCCACTGGAAAACGAAAGCCGCCGGCATGGCAAACTAATTAGAACTTACTGCTGGAGTGGTAGAAGTGGGTTGTTAATCACCACGTGAAGAAAAAGCGCACCATCCTCTTATGCGCAGGTGGACACTTTCGCGCTGGAATTAAACAAGTTTAGCGTCCACTGTACATCGTGGAGCTCAGTATTCGCAAAATGAAATTGAAATTTCGAAAGCTATTTTAACGTGTTGATTTAGAAGATTTTTGGTCCCTTCAAAGGAAGCGCTTGATGCGATATCGTTTCCATGCCCTTTTTAAGAGGGTATAGCGTGGATTTATTCATGGATTCACGGATCGATACACGGGATCAAGGATTTCGCTTGAGTTTCCCGGGTTGGTTTTGTTTTTCACGTTCAGCGGCTAGCGTTCACCTGAAAGATACGTGAAAAAAAGGGAACAGCGGCGCTCTTTAAGTTCTCAGTCCGGAGAAGTTGGCTCACCAGTGCAAGGACCCGCATTATTAATTGTCTAGTAGTGCTTTGAACTGGGTTCTAGATGGGGCGTGGACAAACTTTGGAGGGAGATTGTTCCGCGTAGCAACTACCCAAAATGAAGAAAAGTTGCTTATGAAAGTATACGCTCTGGGATTAAAAATTTTACCATGTGTTCGGCATGTGTTTGCTTGGTCAACGGTGAAAACTTGTTGGCAAAGCCTTATTCAAACAGGGCATAAGTAAGAATTAGGTCCATTCGGAGGCGACGGGAATCTGGGCGAAAGAGATCAGGCTCCGCGCGACGCGTTTCGTAGTCCACGGGTTGGAAACTGGTAAACGGTTTCGGTGCAGCACGCAGAACACGCTCAATGAGGGTTTGTAGCCACCCGTTCACCCACAGACATGACTGTTTAGTTCACCGCCACTCACCAATCACGAGATCCCTCTTTTCTCTTACACTCACAAATCATGCCACATGATCGAGCCTCACTTGACCACACATCTCAGTGTATCGCTAAGTCACTGGACTCGCCTTTTTCCGTTGGCTTACACACTACAACACACAAGAGTGACTCATTTGACACTGCTTACCGCCTGATACGTGTAGCAACAAGTTATGTGCTGATACCCACACACACGCAAACTGTTCTACATATGGGAAAACAACAAGCAAACACAACACAACTCAACACAGCGGACCACCTCACCAGAATCAGAGTCCAGCCTCTATGGAACCACGGCGCGCCGAGCACAGATATCAGAAAATGCATGTAGCTGCCATAACAGTGAAAAGGACACAAATCCTGTATCCGGACACGCAACGGGGTTTATCAACTTATATCTACAAAACGATAAGCCCCTCGTTTGCCTATTGTTAACATTTTACCTAACAAAGCTCTTGATGTTAATGCTGCTCGTTTTCTGTCCATATAACTAATTTTCGGGTTCTCTCTCTTCAATGCATCTTGAGCAGACTACTTGGTTGGCAAATTCAAGGGGCGGTCTGACTTAGGTTCTATTGAGTAATTGGAAATCCCTGCCAGTGGTGCGGGAAGGGATACGCCGAATCATCCTAGAACGGCGGTTGACTTTCGGACCGACTTCTCATGGTGCAGTGAGGACATGTTTGAAGACAGCCAGACATAAACCCTTTTTGGGATCTACCTCCGTATTGCCTTCTGGTCCTTCCTTACCATGCATGACAGAGTTATTCGCTGAGTCTCCTACAAATGACATATGGACGCACCTTTCGTCATTCAAATGAAAGTGCCTGTCCAACGACCACTGCTTCGCAGCGTCTACATCCATTTAGGGGGCACTGGCATTGGAATCCGGGGATTTCAAGTCATCCGCAAAAATTAAACATGGACTTGCAAGAACATCTGGAAGTTTGTTGAGGTGTATCAGAAACAATAGTGGTTCCAAACCGTAGCCTCGAGAAAATCCAATGAAGATCGGTGCTGGATAAGAGGTCGAGTCTATTTTCACCCAGAATCATTTGTCTGATAGGAGCGCCTTGATCCAGAGTTCGATTTTTCCTTGAATCCCGTGAAACTGGAGTTTGTGGAGCTGCGGAAAGTGTGAGACGCACTGAAATGGTTAAGCTAAGTCGAGAAATATGGCATTCGATATGAGTTCCCCGCCCTTGACTTGCATAAAGCTATCCGTAAATACGAGCATGTTCGAGAAGCAGGAAGAGTGTGGGAGAACTCCTTGTTGAGCCGAAGATATCAAGTTGTTATATGTAAAGTGATCTAGGATAGCTCGCTTCAGAATGTGCTCCATCACATTGCACGGCAAGCCAATGAGGCTTTAGGCCTCTAGTTGCCAGTCGGTCGCCAGTTTTTTGGATTGATGTAACAGTTACTTCCTTCCAAGCAGAGAGAAGGCGGTTTTCGTCAGGGACTGAGGAAACACCAGGAAGAAATGATTTGTCAGCATAAATGACGTTTCCTCCGGGATCGTTGGATGGGACATGTCAGACCCCACCGGGGATAATGGGTTGATCTTACGCAAGTGTCGACGGATGTCTTCACTTTGAAGACCAAGTTGGCTAAAGGCCTTTTGCAGTTACGCGTCGATGGGATTGGTTTTGGCGAGGACGCTGGAGCTGTATATAGACCTGCATAGTGCTCTCTCTAAGCCTCAGGTGCCACTGTGGGATCCCCGTTCCTGTCCCTCAAGAAAGTGGATGGATTGCTCCCGGAGAGATGTCCCATGTATTTGAACAGCAGATTTCGGTTTTTCCAGGCGAGGTCCAGAATGGTGGTTTGTTTTCGTATGTTTCATTGGCGGATTTCTGGTTTACAGCTGTTTCACATTAAGCAAAACCCCAGCTAATCGTTTGTCTCATGTGGTCAACATTTTGAAAAATTTTGGGTGCGACAACATGTTGAGTGCAAACGCTCTGTTGGGCGACTTTGGTTAGCACCGCTTGAGAAAATCCGCTTGATCCGTCCTTCTGAGGCTCTATTCGTGTGGCCTTTGAAGCGTTGAACTCCCCTACTAGAAGGAAATGAGTGAGAATATAGCAGGAGTGTTGCTTAAGAAATTGTATGAAGAATAGTTCAACTTCAGACTCGCGAGGCATCGGTGGATCACGTCTAGAAGTAGAGAACCAGAACCGCGCAGCGTGATCGGAATCTACAGTGCACCGCAAAAAAGCGGAGGTTTAGTACTATAGAAGACAATCAGAATGGACAGGGGCGCATATAGTTATATAGCGACCCAATAGCCCTCCCTTGTTTTCAGTCAGCTCGAAAAACAGAATAGCTGTCTATCAAAATATCCGCGAAAGAGGCATCTGGTGTGAGCCAGGTCTCTCTGAGTGTGATTATGTACAGCTTTCCAAGGCAATCATCATCAGCAAAGACAGCGACGTCGGTGTTGGCACTGTTGCTCTACTGCCGTACAACCATAAGTTTCGTCTGGTAATAAATTTTT